AGTTGTAATCTCTCATTCCCCGATGGAAATTGTCCTTGCAACATCCTGAGGCAGGATGATAAGTTCAAGACATAGATTCATGGGTTCTCCTTCCCGCGGACCAAGGCACCATTAGCTCCGACTAAGGAACAACTATCATCCAACAACATGCTGGGAAAACCGAGACAGCTCAAGCTAGCCACTTGGCTCATGAACCTTTTGGTCACATCGCGTACGCTTTTCTGCTTTTATAGAAAAATTTTCCCAAAAAAAAAGGAGCCTTATACCAAGTAGAAAAACATATGCAATACAATCTATGCGCGAATTTGTCTAACAGCGTATTAGTACTGTTAGGAAACACACGCATACGCACACTGAAATGTACCAAGAATTACGCTCTCTGTACTCTCTAGGACGGACATATGGTAGGACGTACGATTCGACAGACTGACAAAAAAAATGAAATAAGATAGGATAGGCAGGACAGATGCACACAGGTACTTACATCATCTGATATGATTTTTGCAGATGTGGATGAATGTCAAGAGCAGAAACACTATTGTCACGACATGGCACATTGTAACAATACTGTGGGCTCATTCAATTGCACTTGTCTTCAAGGATTTACTGGAGACGGTTTTGTTTGTGTTGGTATGATATTTGACTGACTCCACCTGCTCAAATATGTCTCGACTGAAACCGGGAATACCCGGTTATAAAGACAAGTGATTTTCCGTAAACTTCAAACGGAATGCACAATTTAAGATAGGATTGTCTCATTTTGTTGTTTAGGATGCATAAACGTCTTTTTCCTACTTGCCAAAGAGCTTGGACGATAAAATTTTGTCCCATGAAAAAAAAAGCAATTTGAAAGATCATCAAGTCAATATTTCCTAATAGGCTCGAAAATATGCTCGCAGATATTTTCTTGAACAGTATGTGTGTTCCCAAGTTCCCAGTTTTCACCGTGCTCGCTCTCGAAAACTGGTACCCTTCTCTGAACAGACGATGTTCACAGTCAAATATTTGACAATTTTAGAAATGAATAACTCTTCAAAGATTCATATGCAGCTCAGCCCAATCTTATCCCTACATGTACGCTCACATTTCCTGTGATATTAATGCGTACGTTGGTATCGTACCCATTTTCTCAAATAAAGTGAATTATAGATCACTTTGAACCACTATAACCCTTTACAACTTGCCGAGCAACGTTTAACTCCAGATTTGGATAGGGTATGCTATACAATATTTTCCAACTCCGACGAGATCGTTCCATCAATAATGATTTGTTCTCATGCAGAAAGATAATGCGTACCACTACAGAAAATGGGTACCAAGAATTCCTTGTTGGATTCTCTAAAGACTCGGTATTTTGCGAGTTTTGCTGATGTTTCTTAGTTTTGAAATTTATTTAGGAAATGGAAAATTTCACTAATCATCACTGAGAAACGTATACCTCAACAAGTAAGCGCGTTGAAGATTTGGATGTCTGGTCATGTTTCCTGTATCATTTTTGCCTCCTCGTTTCAAAATAAAGTCAATGTTTTCTTTGAGGTTAGAAACGAGGGCCATTTTCCAAATTGGATCAAAACAACTTCTTGTTTCACTTCATCTAATGCAAGCTGTTATTTACTTTTATAATGACCTCTAAATCCATAGATATAAACGAGTGTAAGGAAAAACTGGATGACTGCGCTCCTGAGGCAAAGTGCTCTAATGGAAATGGATCATTTGTATGTACATGTTTACCTGGATACTCTGGAAATGGACGATTTTGCAATGGTACGTATAACAAGCTCAATTCTTTGGCTCACCTTTACGAACTCTGCCGCTGACATTCTGAAGGAATTGTTAGCTAAACGTTCTAGTGAACTTTGACATTACGTCGATGAAACTGTTAAAAAAAGACCTTAGATACTCATGCGACTGGAAATGTTGATAAGAATTAAAATAATAACCTTGATTAAAAGACAACAATGATAATGGTGATAATAATAACAATACTTTTGACAGAATTACTGTCCTTACAATATGGACATTTTCAAAATGTAATCTTACAGCTTTTGATGTCTATGAATAAGATCTGTTTCATGACATTCTTTAGAAGAATTTGAGAGTCACTTGATAATCATCTTTGTCAATGACAAAACATCATGTCCCATTCTTCTGGATATGAGCCATGAGAAAAATTATGAGGTCTTTTTTCTTTGTTTGTTTCTTGAGATTAGGTTTTAGAGCTATATAAGCTTAAATACGTATTTCTTTTTTCGTAGACATTAACGAATGCAACACAAATGTGCACAACTGCAACCCATGGGCAGTTTGTAATAACACAATTGGATCTTTTAATTGCACATGCTTGAAAGGATATGAAGGAAATGGTACAAGTTGTGTTGGTAGGAAATATTTGCAAGATAAACTCTTTCTTGTTGTCTTTTATTTACTGGGGCACTCATCCTTGTAATAAGACTGAAACACATTTATTAAATTATGTAGATGTCGATGAATGTGCAACCTCAACTCATAACTGTCATGGAGTTGCTCACTGCTTTAACAATCCGGGATCCTTCAGTTGTGAGTGCCGCAAAGACTATATTGGAGATGGAATAGCATGTGAGCCAAAGGGTAAGATTAAATTCAAATTTCAGCCAAACAAAACCGGGCAAAAATTAATCAGTTCGTTAAGTTCTATAAATTTCTATAATCGAGCAAGGTAGTCTGAGTCCAATTATTATATTTAGTTCAAGGTTTTGATAAAAGTGAACCAAGCCTTAGAATACTTCATAACAGAAGCCCTGGTGTGAAACACCAGAAGATAATTGAGTTTGTTGTTAAAAGCATGTTACAGAAAGCTTGTTTCTTTGAGGTTGAAAGCTACATGCAGATGTTTTTCCAATATATTCTTAGGAGACTTCTCGGTGACCATCAGAAATATTTCAAAAGACAAGTACCATGCCACACCTGTAAGTCGTTCAGTCAAAAAGGTTCAGGAAGCCGTGATACAGGGTCTAAATGAAGACTTGACTGTACTGAAAAGCACTTTCGAATGGAGCGTGGTTAGTGAAATGGAGCTTGCTGCTTCCGAGTCAGCACTAGGTACTTTAGTTAGTCAGGGAACAACGGAGTGGACAATAAACAGACGATCCATACCAGCAGGTATCTACCAGGTCAAATTCAATGCTACAATTACAGTTGGAGGTCAAGAATCCCCACGGATGCTCAGTGCTTTTGATTATGGTTTTATCGAGGTTATTGCAGCTCCAGTGCGAGCAATCATTGATGGGGGAAGCAGTGTTCGATGGGGATCCAAAAACATTGTGACTGTGGATGGTTCCCTGAGTTACGATGCTGATGTTGGTCCTGGAATACATACTGGGCTCAACTTCACGTGGAGCTGTCGGAATCAAACTGGTGTGAGCAACACTTGTTTCGGTTCCTTTCATGGTGAAGGACACTTAAGCTCCGCAATAATTAGAATTGATCCTAGTCGACTTGAAACCGATACGACTTACTTCCTACGACTTACCGTTTCCAAGGATGTAAGAAGTTCATTTGCTGAAATGTCCTTTGCCATAGCTGCTGGAGAGGTACCTCAGGTGACTCTCAGGTATTTTTTTTTCGAATTATGACAAACCAATGTTCACAGGCCGATTCTAAAGTACCTGGGAAAATATTTTGATGTTCGAGAGATTCGAGGAAGCAGACAGTGGTATATACATCGTTATTAAAAGATAAGATTAGAATCTTAAGAATAATTTCAACAAATTGGAGGTAAGAACTTCATTAGGTATCTCAGTGTTTTGCCAACGTGCAGTGCAGCTATTAAAGACCTGCTCCACTAGTGACAGGTAGGTACTGATTTTTAGGAGTCAAATCGCCATGCAACTGAAACACTTTTTTCAAGCGCGTGGGCATATTTGAATTCAACTATAAATCAATAATTGCTATTGAAGCTGCAACTGTTTTGATAGTTCTCCTCACTGCTCCTTGCTTTTGTTTATGTTTGTGTAAGTTCTTTTTTGTTGTTGTTGTTGTTGTTGTTTTTCTTTTTGCTTTTATAGTTTTTTTTTTCTTAGATGCTTTGTGGATTGCGGCGCAATAGTGTCTGCATCAAACAAGCTCCGGGTGACATCAGAGTGTCTTAACACTCCTTGTAATGGATCCACTTATGAATGGCGCTTGTCCAAATTGAATGGTTCAAAATGGGTAAACCTATCTATTTTACCCAATATGACTTCCACTGCTGTAAATGCTACCAATATGATCATCAGGAAGAATTCATTACAATCCAAATCAAAATACAATCTAACATTATTCGTAAAATCATTGGAGGGAACATACGGGTTTTCTATGCTCCTCTTTGAAACTGCAGGAGAGCCGCATAGTGGTTACTGCACGCCTTCAGTCTTTGAGGGTGTTTCCCTAGAGACTGAGTTTACTTTCAAGTGCTTCGATTGGCAGGATGCAAGCTTACCACTCACTTATGAATTCGCCCTTGGAGAGGAGCCTATATCTTATGGCACATCACCCTCGTCTGTATCGACAGTGTTACCGACTGGATTACCGGACAAAGATTTTCTGCTAGAAGTCACTATTGTTATCAAAAATGCAGTTGGAGTAGCTGTTGAACAGAAATTATTTGTCAAGGTGCAGTGATTGATATTACAAAGCAAGAAAAATTGGGAACTCAACCAAAGATTTCCATGTTTTAAAATTTTGATCTATATAAACAGTATGTTCTAGGTTTTTTCTGTACCTACTAACCCCTGGAGTTTTTCTTCCAAGATCCTCCATTATCATGGCATCGTTGCTAGGATCCATTTAAAATCTGTAATATTAACTACAACGCCTAAGAATTCTTACCCCTAAGAATTCTTACCCCTGGACACAAATTTTCGATTCTCCTCACAAAAGACTACAATAAAACTTTTCCTCCGCAGGTAAAGCCATCACATAGCCTTGATCCGTGTGTTTCATCACCCGAGCAAGTTGCAAACAAGTTAAAAAGTTTTGTAGTCATGGAGGGTAATAAGCTTGATGGATTTCTCAACAAAGGTGAACTTAGCCAAGCTGTTCAACTCGGTATATCTGTCATAAAGTCTGCGAATGAAAAAAGCGAATGTGAAAAAGAACTGGACCCTCAAGACAAAGCTTTGGTACGTGAAAAAGAACTGCTTAATTGTAATATGCAAGACTTAAACATGTTTACAGTAATTTCGTTTTCATTATCTGTATTACTACACAATTTTATTGCGATTTCTATTTATCTTGAGTGGTAGGTGAGCGTTGAATATCTTTAACACAATTCTTTTTGTAGATCTTCAGCACATTAATTACGAAGTTTACAGCCATAACACCAGAGAATCTTGAAATGTCTCGCCTGGTTATGTCAGTGGTGAGCTTAGCTATGGGTGCTGAGGTTGATGTCAACGATAACAGCAACAATGAAAACCTGGTGCGCCCTATAAATATATTGAATTTTTCCTCTTTTTCTATACTTTTTGATTGAAACATATTCGATAAATCAATTTTGGCTTGTGCATGGTAATGGGAAACGAACTGATCTCTGTTGCAAGTCCATTAAAGTGATATTGAGTTTAAGCTAATGCCTCCCTAATAATAGATAAACTCGACTACTAACTGAGCAATGCTCACTGTGTTTGAGCAAAAGAGTCTCTTACTTGCCCCTAAAGCACTCTGATTACAAAAAAATAAGAAATTTTGACCTGAAGATAACAACGAGAAAAGTAACGATGTCAAACCTACAGGTAAACTTAATTAAAGAACTTGCGTTTGACTTACGTTAGAATCTCAGAAAATGCCTTTTTTTTGTTTTTTTTTCCCCGAACATTGTGATCCGTTTTCTTGCTATTAATATTCCGAAGAGCAAGATGATTCGTTGATATTTTATATATATGTATATATATATATTTTTTTAATTTTTAATTTTTTATTATTATTTTTTTTTTTAACAGGAGTTGACAATGCAATTGACCGAGAGTACTTCAAATATGATGATCTCTACCCTTAACGATCCAGAGGAGCCTTTTACACCGGCGTTGGAACTAACAGCTTCAAGTGTTACAGGCTGTCTTGCAAATGTTCTGAAGTCTGCCGCAGGCTCGAGTCAAGATAAAGCCGAGTCGGCAGCTACCACGCCATCTCAAGAGGTACGGTTTGCAAACGCAGCTTCCACAATAAAAATGTATTCCCCCACGTATTCCCTTGCTGGAATAAGTTTTTTGACGACAATTTTTGATGACTCGTTTTATAGGGCTATGAAGGAAAATTAAGAGTCTAAGGAAATCTAACAGTCATTTTTCAAACACGATGTGGCTTACAATCTCTCTCTCTCCTTCCAGTTTGTAAAAAAGGCCTCCGAAATACTGAGCAGCATGAGTGATGCATTTCTTGGCCGTTTGGTGCCATCAGAAGATCTGGTCCTAAAAACTCCGAACTTAGCAATATCTCTGAAAAAGGTCACGGCCAATGATGCCAAAGGACTCAGCATGGGAGATGGGCCAAGTAAATTCAAACTCCCCAGCAGCCTTGGAAATATAGGTAGTGGAGAGATAAATGTAAAGGTATGATGCCATTCTTATCTTCATCTTTTAACGAATATGAGAAAAGACAAAGGTCATTAGTAATCGCTGATAATGACGTTAGGTTGTTCTTTAAGAAATTCAACTGCATGTAGTTTATTCGCGCGATAAAATATGAAAGCAATCTGCATTGATCTTCTCTGAATTCAGAAGACATAATTTCGTCAATTCAATTGACCGAACAACCATAGCTGAAGTCATCACAAGAGTCAGTTGCCAGAGTTGGAGAGTCAGACTCTAACAGACTGTGTCCTATTTCAGATGCAAGCTGTTGATTTTAATCCTTTTACATGGGACAATAGCAGCAAGAAAATCAAATCAAGCGTCACGAGCCTCGAGCTTAAAAGTAACAGTGCAGAAAAGCTAAATGTGTCAAATCTTGATAGTGACATCGAGATCGTCATTCCGATTTCTAATCCACCAAAGAACGCCAGCAACACAACACAACATTATTTCCTCAAGCCTGACCGCACATCATTCCGAAGTTATTACGCAGACCTGGCCGACGTCCCTGTCTCTTTAAGCTTGGGTTTGGCCATAACAGGAGTGCAAATTGAAATGCGGATTAAATTTGGACAGCGACCAACGATGGTGGACTTCGACCACAACTTTACCTTTGCGTTTAAGTCTAAATGTGACAACCAAACAGTTTTTGATACAACCTGCTTTACCAAAGGTGGGTCTGTTAAAGTAACGCCTTCTAAGCCGGGTTTTCTCTACGTGGGCTTGTTGGTCAAAGGCTCTAAGAATGAAAGTCAACATTTAAGGCAAAGAAGATCATGTTTCGATCATCATCGCGAAAGACGGTCATGTGTCGGCGTTAAAGATCCACCACCGAAAGGAGTCCTTAAAACTATGGTTCCGCAATATGATCCAAATACAGACGTTAACTACACTTTAACCATCAGCCAGTCAAGCTGTTTATATTGGTCAGAGAAAACAGAAACGTGGACTACGGAAGATTGCAGGGTAAAGTAAATAAAGCAAAATTTTTCAACTCCTGATAAACCTATACATTAGGTAGGTGAAGTCCTTCGTGTCTCATTTTTGTCCACAACGAGGAAACCTACTAGCTCTGTATTAAAAGTATATCAACTGGAAACAAGTTTTTGATTCCAAAATTTCGGGATTTTGTAGTCGAGGAGATGATACTCCTTGGAAGGTGCGTCTTTTAGAGCTTATGCCAAAACCTAGCCATATCCGATATCGGTTCCTTTTCTTGCGGACTGAGTTAAGGTTGGTAACTTAAGGGGAAATCGATTTACCAAAACTCTTTATGTTGAATTTAGATGATATCTTTGAGGACATTTATATCCACAGGTCAGCCAAGATTCAAACACCACGCATCTGGTATGCCTGTGCAATCATTTGACATCTTTTGGTGGAAACTTCATCCAAGCACCGAATCCAATTGACTTCGACAAAGTTTTTACTGAGTTTTTAAACCTTGCTGAAAGTGGCAATATTTCAGTACTTGTGACAATTACTTGTTGTTTCCTTCTGTACTTCGTCGTATTGATCGTTGCAAGAAGAGCCGACAAGGGAGATGAAGACAAAGTATGGTCATGGCTGCTAGTACATCTAATTCAATATTTTTATTCCTAAATAGACTGATTTTTTCTTTTTAAGCTACTATTGAAATATAAATCAAACGTGCTACGTTCTTACCGGTAGATGTCAACCCTCAGGTGAGTATTAGAGATTATTTTTAACACCAGAATATATCCTTCTTTTCAGATTTGCCCTCCTAGATTGATATCAGTTGTTAAGGGAGGAACATATTACTACGATATGGTTATAAGCACCGGAGTTTGGAAACATTCAGCAACAACAGCTAACATAAGCATTAGTATCAAGGGCGACAAGAACGAGCAGAGTCAAATTCCATTGCGAGAGAAAGGGGACACGAGCCAGTTTTTCGGACGAGGGAGTATCAATAGCTTTGTTCTGGTGGTGGCTGAAACCATTGGCACATTAAAAGAAATTACTTTGGAACACGACAATTTGGGTGATAACCCGTCTTGGTTTGTGGAGACTGTGGTCATTAAAGACCGGCAGACGGAAGAAAGCTGGGTGTTCCCCATTAATAGATGGCTTGCGTTGGAGAAAGGCGACGGTCAAATAGAGGTTACTGTGGACAGCGCTACTTACTCTGCCTTCTCGGCTCAGGTTCGTTCGCGCTTTGCTCGAAAAATTGCCGACAGTCACCTGTGGATGTCAGTGTTTGGAAAAGCATGTAGCAGCACCTTCACACGTGTGCAAAGGGCTTCATGTTGCCTTTCAGTTCTGTTTAGTGCAATGATAGCTAATGCCATGTTCTATAACATTGGTGGTGAATCCGATGGTACTATACAGGTTGGGCCTTTTAAGTTTTCTTGGAGACAGATAGTCATCGGAGTACAAAGTGGCATTATCATTGCACCTATAAACATAATAATTGCCTTCCTCTTTAAGTCTAGCAGACCGAGGAAGAAAAGGAGTGACACATACCAAGTGACAGACGAGGCCCAACGACTTTTGGATGAAATAACGGACACTGGCTGTATGCTTCCTCATTTCTTTGTCTATGTGGCCTGGTTTCTCTGCTTCTGTACGACAATGGCAGCAGCAACGTTTACGCTGTTTTACAGTCTGATGTGGGGAAAGGAAACCTCTGAGCAATGGCTTGCTTCCATCTTGATTTCCAATGGACAAGATATTTTCGTTATGCAGCCCACGAAGGTTATGATAGCAGTCATCGCTATTTCCTTTCTCCTGATCAGAAAGAATAAGGACCAACGTGTAGAAAAAAAAGAGGAAATCGCAATCGATCCAATTTCAATTAGAATAGACTTTGTAGGTGATGATCCCAAACAGCGATTTAAGAAATATCAGCGGGAAAAGATGAGGGAGAGATCAAAAAAAGAAGCTCAGTTAACAAGCATGACAAGAGACATTATCCTTCATCTGATATTTATGTTTCTTCTGGCTATCGTTTCTTATGGCAACAAGAATGGAAATCGTTTCCTGATGACAAATGAGATGAGAAATCGGTTCACTAAGTTCAATGTGGTAAGATTATCGTTTTAGCCAAAACACACTTTCAAGTTTATAGTTAGAAGGCATTTTTGTCATTATTGCCCTCTTGCAAGACAATCCTAAAACCGTTGAAGAATTGAAACGACCTTTAAAAGAAAAATTAGAACCAAGGTGAACCCTTTAACTCCCAGATCAAATTTGTAATTCTCCTTACTGTCAACCATACTATTCTTATAAAGTTAGTTCGGAGAATTTAGTATTAGATCAACTTAGTATCCCCAAATTGATATTTTTCTTTATTCTCTTTACTTATCTGGCTGATATTGTAAGGAGAAATTCTGTGTTGGTCACTCATGGGAGTTAAAGGGTTAAAGCATTGATCCCTGTAGGTGAGCTGCAATTAGAGAAAGAAGGCTCTAAGGCTTCGACAGGATGTCAATCTGTGCCTTCCACATCCCAACTGATCTACAAAGCCATATGTTGGAAAATGGCTAATTGTAGTTAGTTTTTCACTCCCGGTAAGGAATCTGAACACTTTTGATTAAAAATACATTTCAATTTAAAAAATAAAGTATTTCAATCAAATGCAAGAACGAATACAGTACTGTGAAAAAGTAATGCAAACGATTATCGCGTTTATCGCGCTTTATTCTTCCGATATATTGTTGATTTTCTTGACACCTTTAGAACGATAAATCGACGAGATATCGGAACTTTCCTGCGAGATCTCGTTCCAACGATACATCGTTCCAACGATACATCGTTCCGGGGATATATCGCTAAAACGATATATCGTAGAGCGTGAGGAACATCATCACGATATATCGCTTCAGCGAAATATCGTTTCAGCGATTTATTTTTACAGCGATTTAACAAAACAACATAAAAATAATTTGGTTGAAGAACATAATACATTTCATCTAAGTAACTCTGTGTGAGGGTTACTTTTTGTCCGGGTCTGATAGGAGACGGATCAGCTATGTCCGATCGAGACACTTCAGAATACTGACTTCGGCTCCACTTTACTTGAACGAGTTTTTCTTCAATGTTTTTTTTTCATTTTGGTTCTTTGTGCGATGGTGGGAACTGTTTATGTTAAATGAATTAGGTTTTCCCCTCTTCTAGAAATCGAAGCCCGTAGATGGATCGAGATTTTTATCAGATGACTGGTTCCTACTTGGTGTTTTGTTCTCCATAACAATAGAGGCGTAGGCTTCATGAGAGCTTTTCATATTTAAATTAACTACACGCGAAAGGATGTGAAAAAGGTGTGATAAAGCGACTTAATTTTTTGATAGAGTTAATGGAACCGCGGGCTAATTTCGGTCCTTGGATTGTTATGTGAGTCGGCGGGTAATTTGAAAGTGCTAAAATTCTTGTTTTTGAGTTTAATGAAATATGCACACACGCTTTTGTTTTTGTAGCACGTGCAGAGAATAAGTAAGGAAACAAGGAATATCAATGCCCGATTCTGTTAGCCCTTAATTAACCATATTGTATTTTTTGGAAGAGCGAGGTTCAACTAAAACAAAGTTTTTGTCTCAGTTTTGGTCTCGTGCGCGCAAAAAAGGTAAACGTATTGATGATATGACCTACACATGAGTAGCCTATTCTTTAATGTTTAAGAGAGCGGTTCATAAAAGTGCCAATATTCTTGTTTGTCTGTTTGTTAAATTGATCAACAATCATAAGTTTTTGTAAGCATAAAATAATAGGGTACATAGAAGGCAACTTTCACGGTGTAAGTCGTGCAAAGACTGTTTCACTAATAAGATATCAAGATTATTGTTTTTTTTTTAAGTGTAAAAAAGGCATGTAGTTACAGTTTTAGTCGTTTTAATAACCACTGTTAATTTTTTATTGGTCAATGACTTTTGTGAAATTTGTGGCTCCTAAAGGAGCAGTTTTGTTTTGAGTTGTGAAATCGATCTTTAAAATTGCATTGCTGCTCCTTTTGCCTCCACTGCCGCTGGGACGACTTTCTTGAGCACGTGGTCGATGTACTTAGTGCATTTCTCTTCCGTCACCCTCTCAGCCCAAAACGCCTTTATTTCGTCAACCAGGTCTTGTTTGTTTTGCGGCTTCACTTTCGATTCTAAGTAAAATTTCAGTTCGTGCCATAAGTTCTCGATGGGATTTAAATCCGGACTCTCTAGGGGAGTATGCCACCAGTTTATATCATTCTCTTCGAAGAAGGCCCTCGCTCGTCTTGACGTATGTTTGGGATCATTATCCTGCATAAATCTGTGGTCTGGCAGCGTCTGATTGATGAATGGTCTCCAGAATACGGCAGTGCAGTTCTAAATCCATTTTACCATCGAATATGCACACTTTAGTAGCTCCCTTTCCGCTGATTTCTGCCCATACGTGTAATTTAAGTGGATGTTTAGGTTTCGATGTTCTTTTCAATGGCTCGTCGACCTTTCGGTAACATGTACGTCTGTATTGTTCCAGGGAGACTGAGCATTCATCAGAGAATACAACATTATGGAATTTATCACCGGAATCCAGGATTTGTTGTGCATACTCTAGTCTTTTTACCTTATTAGCTACTCTTATCAGTTGACAGTAATGGGTGCGCTGCAGTGTCTTTCCCTGTTTGGCTCGCGATCTTTGCACAGTTGAGGAGTTCACAACGATTGCACGCTTGGCCAGTTGTTTTTGAATCTGAATGCTTGTTGCCTCGTCTTTTGTACGCATTTGCTTTTTAATAAGAGCTTTAGCATCTGCTGGAAGCTTTGTCGGCCTTCCTGATCGAGGGCGGTTTTCAGTGGATCCAGTTTTCTGTATTTTGTTGATGATCCTGGTGACACTTGCTAGGCTTCCTTGTAGATTTTCGCTTCTCAAGGCTTTCAATATTTGTACGGGATAAAATACTTCCTTATGGAGACAAGCAATTCTTTTTCTCGTAGATAAAGTAACCATCGCTTATGGTTAGGGTTAGGGTTAGGTTACGCTAAAACTGACTGTCAACGGTAGTGTCCCGCAGGTACATTATATGCAAATACAGGTTGGTTTCCATGGGGATGCAATAACACATCGCAACGCGTTAAAAAAAGTAAGCTTTGCACCCTCCCTGAGTACCGTTTTCACGAGCTGTCTTTTTCTCGCTCTCGCTATTCTCGTTTGTTCGATAGTATCATAATAAATATAGTATTTCTTATAATTTGTTTTCTTTTGTGTAGTAGCGAACTTGCTTAACTGATGTGCAGCGAACGTGTGGCAAACTTCGACCATAGCCGACTCTGTATGTAGCGAAACTGGCTTATATTCATTATACTGCCCTTTTCACGCTGATGAAACAGACTTCGAAAAGAATGATACACTACGTTTACTTTCCTACCCACTCAGACAGTATCAGTCTGATGAAAAATTCGCCGAGCGGCGCAATGTTGCCTCACCGATCTAACACTTAGCCACGGCGATATCTTACCGACGCAAACGATATATCGCTATGCTGCAACGATATGTCGCTTAGTTTAAACGAGATATCGTTAGGTGGCAGCGACATATCGCCGAGCTCAAACGATATATCGCTAAGGGAAACGATTATTCGTGAGGAGCTCAACGATATATCGGCAATATCTCGCAGTTGTTAGAACAATAGCCCTGCGATATATCGCCGATATCTCGCGATTATCGCGATAAACAACGATAATCGTTTGCATTACTTTTGCACAGTACTGTATTAGGATCCGCCTTTTCTTTTCTTAAACTATTGTTTTTTTTTCAATTTAAATATATCATCCTCATCAGATAACAATGTCAACAGCTTTCAGAGTAATTTTTTTTATTTTAGGTATCTGATGCACAAAGATTTGAAGCATGGTTAAGGAACGAATTTCTATCGAACATTTATAATCAGGTTTGGTATAACGGACTTAAAGAGAAAAACGACGTGTACATCGAAAACAAAATGTCCATACTGGTTGGAATGCCCTGGTTGCGACAGCTCAGAGTTAAAAGAGGTACTCAATTGAGATTGATCTATTTTCTTGTTTTCTCTTTTTTCAATGCACAGAATAAGTTTCGAAGGCTCTTGTTGCAAAGTGCATAGACCAATGAAACTCAAATTATAGGAAATGTATAGAACGCCCTATTTTGAACTAATGCGGCATACCCACTTCTACTAAGCGTATTTTCTTCTTATTAAAGTCAGTTTTCACCTTTGATGATCATACTGTTGCTCACTTCCAGGTGTGCTGAAAATTAATCGAACAAAATCTTCCTATTTACACACCTTGGAAATCGCTGGATTTTTCAATAGGACATTGATTTTGAGTTATAAATCTTAAAGAATCAGTTTGTGTATTTTCTTTTCACCGTAACGTCATTAATAGAAGCTTAAGGTTTTAAGTTCTGACTTTGTATTTTTCCTTCAAGGTTCCTGCGAATCCCCTCCTAAAATCATTTCAACTTGCTACTACGAATATTCCTCAGACAGTCAGGACACTACTCTCCTAAGCCTTCCCGGCTGGAAGCCTCTTCCCTTCAACACATCGTGGCCAAATGCTTTAGAAATGTGCCCGAAACCTTGGCGATACCAATCAGCAGCAGAACTTGGCAACCATCCTATCCAGGCCGCATATAATTCATATGAAGGGGGTGGTTATGCAGCTGTCATGGGATATGACGAAACCACTGCACAAGGTGTCCTCGACGAAACTATCGGCCACGGTTGGCTTGATCGCCAGACTCGAGCTGTAATTCTAGAGTTTGCTGTTTTCAACGTCAATACAAACTTGATTAGCGTCGCCACATACTTTTACGAGGCCATAGCTACTGGTGCAGCCTACACTACAAGTAGAATTGAAACACTCGAGTTGTACAGCACTGAGTCAGGAGCTCTGATGTTTTTCTTAATTGGCCAGTTTCTGTTCATGGCAATGGTTCTCTTTTACTTCATAGTTATGTTAGTTCACCTTTATCGACAACGCTTCGGGTTCTTCAAGTCTGTTTGGAACATGGTGGATTTCTCCTTGATAATTTTCTCTGTAGCATCTGTAGCATTCTACATGATCAGAGCTAAAAGCGTTTTGAACACTATCAAATCTATTCAATCAAATCCATATGAAGTCATGCATTTCCACACAGCCTTGGATTGGCTTAACCTGGAAAATGCATCTATTGCTGTTGCTGTTTTCATGGTGACAGTCAAGCTTCTGAATCTAATTCGTTTTAATCCACATGTGATATACCTGTTTTCATCTTTTCGGCAGTCTATGGGCTATCAGCTCTCGTATGTGTTCTTCTTTCTGATCGTGTTTAATGCATTTGTCGTAACAGGTATGCAGTTATTTGGTGGTATAGTCCTTGAGTATTCTAGTTACCTTAATGCTGTAATGTCACAATTCGAATTCTTGTTAGGAAAAGCGGTTCCGTTACAAGCTCTGCGGAGTGACAAACCCTTTATGGGTCCTACGTTTGTATTTTTGTTCTGTCTATCCACTACTATTTTCCTAATGAATATGTTAGTTTCTATACTCAATGAGTCCTATGGTGACGCCAAAGCAAACGCCGAGGAAAGCGCAGAAGAGCTTGAAATGGCGCGCTTCATTGAAGAACGTGCAAAGGAAATGTTTCATGAAGGGAGCAGTCGGACGGAATTTAGGTTATTTTGTGATGAGACAACTTTTGTTAACATGTGCCTTTTTGAAGCAGAGCCCTTCTGTTTGAATTCTGAAGCTATTATCCGGAGCACAGAGCTACGAATGGAAAACGTGGAAAAAAGATTGTTTGCGATCACTAAACGAACAGAAAGCATGAAAGATGATCTCTTACAGGAGGAAAATGACTTCATGAATCTCCTGTACACAATATCAAATTCATTTAAACACGTTTCATACAGACAATCGGAGCTTGATCCCTGAAATAGAAAGTCCTCCTGCTTATTCTTATGAAGATACAATTACATTAATTATGATGAGTAGTAAACTATATCGCACTTACGAATGTTGTTTTCAAAGGTATCCAATCTTATTGCGGATCTAAAATCTGGCGATAGTTTCTCCATAACCTAGGCCCATTGGGTTCTTTAACCCTTTAACTCCCTGATCAAATTTTTTTATTCTCCTTACTGTCGACCATACAATTCTTATAATATTAGTTTAGAGAATTAAGTATTGGATCAACTAATTATTCTCAACTTGATATTTTTCTTTATTCTCATCACTTTTCTGGTTGATATTGTATCGACATTGTTAGGAGAAATTCTATGTTGGTCACTCATGGGAGTTAAAGGTTAATAGGTTTTGCGACTGAGATGATTTATTTTCTGCTACATGCAATCGTCAGAAGTTGCGAAGTGAAAAATTCACGAGTCCAACTTACTGATTTTGTTCTGATCGACAAATCTTAAGAATCTGTAATGTTTCTCTGTTGTCAATAGGGCTACTCGTAGATGAAATATAGTTCACTTGAGGTAGATATCCCGACAAAGGACATCGCGAGGGAAAATGAGGATAGAAATATAGACAGCGATGAGACTAATTAAGTGGAAAAATTACCATCGTTTCACTTCCGGTGGGAGCTTTTTTGTTGGCCAGTTTTGCTTTCACCGATATCATTTCTAAGAAATATGACACCTTTGTGCCCAAATGAAAAACATGGATTTAAGGATAGATGATTCTGTTTTTTATTACAATAAATCAACTCTTAGGTTACAATATAGCTTTTTTAGAATTAACAAGCGATTTCTGGAAAATGATAACGTTGAAATGACACTGTGTCTTAAAGTTAATGTCAATATCAATAAGCTAAAGACGCTTACCAGATCATTTTACCTCGACACTGTTCTCATGAAATTCATCAAGGGCGTTTTAACATTTTTTCTCAGTTAATTGACTGTCAAATCCAACGTAATTTTTTTGAATATAGACGGAACCACATTGGCCGTAAATGACAACATCAACTGGTACATGACGTCTTAAGGTCATCTTGATAATGTGACAGAGGACACGAAAGTCACTAAATACAGTGTTAGCGTTTGTCCTCCAAAGAAAATTTTGAAAGACGAGAAATGATAGACTATTAAAAAACACTGCTTACTACAGCATAAGGGCCTAAATAAATTCCTTTATACACGTGCAAAGGCATTTTCTATCATTTATTTTAGTTTTTTTACACAATCATACTCGGAAAAAGCGGAGTTGTTTTAACAAAAGTCAAAATAAAGATCCTCTAGTGAGATTTCTACGGAAAGATGCCACTGGGGAAAAATAGTTTTCATGTTGTTCTTGAAAAATTTACCCTTCCCGTCTCCTCAAAAAAGCGTCCGTCCCTGAATTCTGGTGGAATTTTACAGCTTAGTATCTTCCTCTTCGTCACCTTTTACATCGTGTGAATTGATATCAAGAATAGACATAAAAATCACTGATTAAGAAAATGTCTTTTTTCGCAATGGCTAAAGACCACGCTAGTATTTTTACCTGCAGATTAAGTCGAATGAAATGGAGAACTTTGAACGTGGCAAAGAATAAAGCAAATGAAAGAGCAGCATGTTCCATTTCAGTCAAAAAGATTGCGAACTGAAAGCGTACTGTTACAAATGGATTCCTTCGCACTTCGTGGATACTGTCATGCATAAACTTAGCTTTTATAATGTAAAACACAATTGCTAGCGAGGCACTCACAGAGAAGTATCGTGATATATACTGATACCTTAAAAATAAATACCAATGACACAATAGTTAAAAGCTGCATGCCATAGTTTGAAAATTAAACAATATTATGGTGTCAATCCTTTCGTAAGTAAGCCCAAATTCGAAAGGAAGAACTTCGTAATGGTATGTGATGATGCTCATTAAGTTAATAGTCATGTTTAGGACTTGAAATTTAAGCAGAATTGCCCTTGTTCTTCTATCAATCCAGTCCTTGTCTTTAACAGCCTCCATCATACGGATAGCAGTTGGTTTATCGTATTCCAAATCGAGAACGCTTCCTCCACCGCCATATATGTGATTTTGTGCCCAGGAAGGAGAGTTTTGAGAAGTTTTAGAAAACAACGCAGGTTGTGTTTTTCAGTGACGCCGACGTAGTATACCTTAGGACTCTAAGATGTGCGATCATGTTCATTAACATCCTGTACCGGGCTCTCAGTCAGCCAAAACAATCAAAAAGTGTGTGTACCAAGGTTAATTTGGCTTGTCTAGGAAATCACTAAGCGTCGCTCACCTGCTATTTCACTTTTTTTCCAAGACCAATGGCCTGAAAAAGGCTACTTCAACCGATTAAAAAAAACAAAACTCCACGAGGAGGTGAAGAAAGAGATGTATTGGGAAATTATTCTGTCTCATAACAACAAGTGGTACAAAAATAAAAGATAAATTTCCTGTTACATTCAATCTAAAAAATTATTCGTACCTATTTGTCTATATCACCACCAATTTCCCTTCTTCAACCATTGCAAAAACCTGATTAAAAAATTGATGTTTTTTTCCCTTCACTAGAATCTCAGCGGGAAAAAGTTTCCTGTTAGTAAGAAAATTATAATTTGGAGGATTATGTATTGGAACTATGATTACGTAACATGCTTTTGCTCGGTTTGGAATAAAGAAGAGACAAGATGAATGCTCAAAGGCTCTTTCTTACATTTATCAAAGGTGAGCAGGCTGACTTTTGAATGTTTTCCTTTCATGACTGTTATAGGTTCAAATCTTGATCGTGGTAACTAGTAGAGGTTTAGGGAGTTGAGGTATGTTTTATCTCGTGTAATTTTATACTAAAGGACACTCTCATATCTGAAAATTTGGTTTTTATTCGAGAGTAGGACATTTAATGAACGAATTTTTCTTGCTTGGTATCTATCGCCTTTATTCAAGGGATGTTTTATGTTACAACGAAATTTTATCGTTATGTTACAACGAAATTATATCGTAAGTAGGATAAATGTGTTTTACTGGAACAGTCATCGTAGAATTGCATACAGGGCTTCCACGCTTCATAAGGCATTACTAAAACGCTGCTGACAAAAGTTTATTAAAGATAAAAGAGCTTTCAAACTTAACTTGTCAAGGCAAAATAATTCAAAGACATCCTCGTGGAGCACGATAAGTTATAATTTAAAAGAAGTTGAAAGTATTGCATTCCAGCTTACGCGAAGTGTATGTCTAAAGTCCCAAGCAGGACGGTTTGGACGAGGTGAATTTGCCGAATTTGCTAAGTATTTTCTAACCTTAGATAAACGAATTATCAAAATTAATCTATTATAGTGCGGAAAAATGTTGCAATTTTTTATTTCATAGCCTTTTTTTTTTGTTTGCTGGTGGATTCTATCCCACGGCATCCGCCCCCGTACCTTTTCACGCGTCCTACGTCCCGCTTATAGGTAACAAAAAAGTCCAAAACTTTTCCTTTTGTAAAAGGAATGATCCTGTTACTTTTAGTGGACAGTGAACGGCGATAAGGTAGGTTAAAGTTGTGATTAATTGAGTATTCAAATTTGTTGAACGTAGAAACCCATTATAACTGCTACAGTAATGCTGTTGCAGTTTCCAATTCGAATATCATTCTTGACAGCTTGATGAGGGCAAAAAGTCATTACCAACTCAACACCCTACCATCATATGGACGTCCAAACGCTAACAGAGGAGATGGATGGTATGTCAAATTGAACGATGACGAAGAGTAGCTTCAAGTCGATCTCGGGAAAGTTACTGAAGTGCGCGCTGTTGCAACTCAAGGAGACATCAATGGCAATAAATGGATGACAGACTTTAAACTATAGCTAGCGCACTCTAAATCCTATGAGGACGGTTGGCCAACTTATATGGATGCTAACGGCTCGGAAGCGGTAAGATTTGGGCCAAAATGTCCTTTTAAACCCGGAGCATCTAACATTTCACGGTGTTGTATGGTTAGATTCAGCTTTCTAGAGTAACTCACTTATTGCTGTAGGTCAGATGCATCGCATAGAGTCCAATTAGACAGTGTGATTCGCAAGTTGATGATCTTCAGATTTTCAATTGTTGACGACATCATTTCTAGTAACTTCTTGCCAACGCATCATAATCGAACGGTATCGCTTGTTGGCAGCGTTCGTCAATCTACATTCTGCATCTCAGTATCTGCGGAATCATTGGAAATTAGCAACCCCATAATGGTTCCTTTTAGCTGTTTACAATTTTTATCGCTATTGAATCTCCTTTTTGAGAAAATTTATTTCAAAAAGTTGTGACTGCGTTATATTTTCTCATTATTTTATAGATATTTCACATGGAAGGTGGATCCTACACAATTGACCAGCATGTACTGAAAGTTATGGTTTATACAAGATACATTCGTTTTCTACCAGTTACTTGGGAACGATCTATCTGCCTTAGAGTTGAGGTTTACGTAACCATCAGTGAGTTTGCTTCAATTAAATAGGAAATTTGACCCTCCCCTCTCTCTAGGTTATCAGAAAATTCTTCAGTCTTTTTCGATGTCGAAACCTGATTTTCTACAACGATTTTTGAAGTAGTTGCCTACAAAATTAAACTGTACCCTTTTGGAGAGTTTTACATCTCTGAGGTGGAGTTCTTCTGGCGTGAACTAAACCTGCATTTGCACGCAAAGGAATTCCAGAACTCTCCTCAGATCTCAGTTTTTCTTTTCCTTTCGTACCTCTTAATTTTAGGCTCTTCTGCCTTTCATATACCTTATATCTCTACCAAAGAGTTTGCGGCATTTGCAACTCTTTACATCGTGAATAATATATACGCAATCATAGATATGAATTTTCTCCTCGTATATTCAAAGAGCAAAATTCCATATCTACGAGCAACCACGTTTTAATTATAATTATTATTACGAACATTATTATGATTATTATTACCATTATCATATAAACAAGATTGCCCTTAATTGACAGGAAACGTGGACCAGAAGGCTT